TAGTTCGAGTTCAGATGCTTGCAGAGCTGGAAGAGATCATTACTTACAAGCAACATGCGAATGATCCAGAAAGGCAGGAGCGCATGCGCGAGACCTGGACGAAGCGGCTCCGCGGGTGCCAGCGGAATGTCGAGGTCTGGCAACGCATGCTCAAAGTCCGAGCTTTGGTCATCACGCCGCAAGAGAACATTGAGATGTACATCAAATTCGCGTCTATCTGCAGGAAGGCCCAGCGGACAGGTTTGGCGGAGAAGAGTCTCAATTCTCTTCTCGGCGGCACGGGTAACATCATGTCGCCTGAGAGTATGGAGAAAGTGCATGGAGCGCCATATCAGGTGCAGTATGCTGTGTACAAGTTCTTGTGGAGTAACGGGCGGCACGAGGGCGCCCTGACTGCTCTGCGCGACTTCACGTTAAGATTGCGAAGCGACTATGAAGAGAGAAGCCATGCTTTGACAGCTGGACAGGCCAACGGTACATACGCTGGCATGACGAATGGTGTGAATGGCCTTGCTCACCTCAACGGCATGAATGGTGGATCTGCGCCATTTGGGTCAACGAGCATGCAAGCCAACCCTCGAGAGAAGGCAGAGCTGGACGAGTGGAAGATGTTGCTGGCCCGCTGCTACCTCAAGCAAGGTGACTGGTTGACGAAGATGATCGACGGCAACTGGGACTCTGAGCACGTTCAAGATGTGCTGAAATCGTATTATTCGGCAACCAGATACAATGAGAACTGGTACAAGGCTTGGCATGCATGGGCGCTGGCGAATTTCGAGGTCGTCACTTCAATGACTGCCGGCACGGATCACGACTCGGCCAGTGTACCGAAGCAGATCGTCAGCGAGCATGTCATCCCAGCGATTAGAGGCTTCTTCAAGAGCATTGCGCTGTCGAGCATGAGCTCGTTACAAGATACGCTGCGACTGCTTACGCTTTGGTTCGCACATGGCAAGCACCCGGACGTCACTCATGCGATCACTTCGAGTCTGCCGAGTGTCAGCATGGATACCTGGCTCGAAGTCATTCCGCAGCTCATTGCGAGGATCAGTCAGCCGAGTCAGGTCGTCAGAAATGCTATCCACAATTTGTTGAAGGAGGTTGGCAGGGTTCATCCACAGGCCTTGGTGTATCCGCTCACAGTCAGCAAGAACTCGGACGTAGGTTCACATCGCTCGCAAGCGGCTGGTCAGATCTTGGAAGCGCTGAAGCAGCATAGCGGTAGGCTCGCTGAGCAAGCCGAGCTGGTCAGTAACGAGCTCATTCGTATAGCCGTACTGTGGCACGAGCTATGGCATGAAGCTCTCGAAGAAGCGTCGCGTCTTTACTTCGGTGACCATAACATCGAAGGTATGCTCCAGACTCTGAAACCGCTGCACGGAATGCTGGAGAAGGGTCCCAAGACTCTGCGTGAGATCTCATTCATTCAGAGCTTCGGGCGCGATCTTGCTGAAGCCAAGGACTGGTGCGATGCGTACAAGACCTCGCGCGAGATTGGAGATCTCAATCAAGCTTGGGACTTGTACTATGGCGTCTTCAAACGCATCGCGCGGCAATTGCCTCAGCTCATGAGTCTCGAGCTTCAGTACGTGAGTCCGGAGCTGAAGAATGCGCATGACCTGGAGCTGGTAGTGCCGGGCACATATGTGAGTGGCAAGCCGATTGTCAGGATCCAGAGCTTCGATCCTGTTGCTACGGTCATCAGTTCTAAGCAGAGGCCGAGAAAGCTGGCTCTCCGAGGTAGCGACGGCAACAAGTACGATTACCTTCTCAAGGGCCACGAAGACATTAGGCAGGATGAGCGCGTCATGCAGCTTTTCGGTCTCGTCAACACGCTCCTGGCCACAGATCCGGAGTGTCTGAAGCGACACCTCAACATCCAGCGCTACGCCGCCATTCCACTCTCAACACAGTCCGGTCTGCTGGGCTGGGTACCAAACAGCGACACGCTACACGTCCTTATCAAGGAGTATCGCGAGAGCCGAAAGATTCTGCTGAACATCGAGCATAGAATTATGTTGCAGATGGCGCCAGATTATGATAACCTCACACTCATGCAGAAAGTTGAAGTCTTTGGCTACGCACTTGACAACACTACAGGCCAGGATCTGTACCGTGTACTATGGCTGAAGAGCAAGAGCTCTGAAGCGTGGCTGGATCGACGCACGAATTACACGCGTTCGCTGGCGGTGATGTCTATGGTGGGCTACATCCTGGGTCTCGGTGATAGGCATCCGTCGAACTTGATGCTTGACCGCGTCACTGGCAAGATTGTGCACATTGACTTTGGCGATTGCTTCGAAGTCGCTATGCACAGAGAAAAGTACCCCGAGCGGGTCCCCTTCCGGCTTACGCGCATGCTCACCTTTGCGATGGAAGTCAGCAACATTGAGGGAAGCTTTAGAACGACTTGCGAGCATGTCATGCGTTTGCTGAGAGGCAACAAGGAGAGTCTGATGGCCGTCCTGGAAGCCTTCATACACGACCCTCTTCTCACCTGGCGGCTTGGCAATAGGGAGTCTCCGCCTGAACCCTCCTTCCCAAGCGAGCGCCGGTCCAGCATCATGAATGCACCCGTCGCTGCCGCTGCCGTCGCGGACGGCGCCCGTCGCGCTTCTGTCATGGGCGCCGGCGCAACCAACGACCCTAACGCCGCGTCCGAGCGTCCCGGCAGCAGCACCTACCGCCCTGGGCGCTACCGGATGGGCAGTCTATCTCAGCAACAACATCCGAATGGCGTGCTAGCTACGAATGGGGCCGGCCAGGACCCTGTCGAGCGCGAGGTGCAGAATGTGAGGGCATTGCAGGTTTTGAGTCGAGTGAAGGAGAAGTTGACGGGGAGGGACTTTAAGAAGGAGGTTGAGCTTGCGGTTGATGAGCAGGTGGAGAAGTTGTTGAGTGAGGCGACGAATTTGGAGAATCTCTGTCAGCATTACATTGGAGTAGGTCTTTCTTTTTCTCGTTCTTGGCATTTGGTCGAAGAGGAAGTTGGGGTTTGGCTTTTTTAATGATGCTGACGTTGTTGCAGTGGTGTTCGTTCTGGTGATCGCCCAGCTCTGACACCGATCAACGACTTCTTGCGGCACTCTTCGACGCAGGCCGCTGACGTCCCTGCTATTCTTGCCTGCAGGCGCCCGCTGTGCGCAACGACTCTGGGCATATCAACTACTTCTCAGGCGCTATTGGACACGGGTTCGTAGCTCCTTGCTACCTGCCTACTCCTGCAGCATGCATGCTAAAGGGTAAGGCTTCTATTTCTCTTTCCATTCTTGACCGTTCGAATGAGCGAGGCGTTCGGCGGTGCGGCACGGTGCATCTTGGGATTGCTTGTGAAACGGTCACATGGGCACGAGTTGGAGCTTCCGGTGCTTCCTGTAGTTAGACGACAGGGCTGTAGGGGTTTTGCCAGCGGTATGGGGGTTTTATGGTGTCATGGTGTGTTTTCTGGGGAGGTGCGCAGCAGAGCATAGCGATGGCGCTTTTGGTGAAGTTCAGATGAGAGGTGGGTAGTGCTGTATCAGATGAAGTGGTCTTTTGTATGCCATTGTTTTGTGGCTGGGTGTCTGATGCTGGGGTGTGTTGCTGACGCGGATGTCGGGCCTCGTCGAGGTAGTCCGTGGTCGTTTTCGTCTTCGTGGTATTCTTGGACGATTCGTTGTGTCATTGGGGTCGGCTCGGTCTGACAGAGGCAAGACAAGGCTGGAACGAGTTGGCCTTCGTTCGGCATCGAACTTCGGCGACGATGACCGCCAGCGCAGTGTGTTGGACAGGGCCAGAGGACCGAGGCCTCCTCGCGTGGGTCCATCAAGCGTCGAGTCGATCCCAGGCAGACGGAGAAGGGTGCCTCGAGGTATGCTGTCGAAGAGTTTGGGCCATATTCAGGCAGGTGTCCGTTCGTCCGACTGGTGTATGTCATTTGATGGTGCATATCTCTTGTACCAAACTTCCCTGTCTGGTCCTGTGTCGTTTGCTCCCTTTTTGTGTGAGGCGCTGATTTCGTGTCGACTGTTGTTGTTCTGCGGTCATTGTACTCTGTCGTGTGATTGCCGTCATGCGCCTGCCGTTGTTTAATCAGGGAGATGGCACGGTTGGGTTCAGCAGGAAGGAGCGTTTCGAGAACTGCAAGAACTGTGCAATGACAAGTGGTGTACCAAACAAGGTTGTTTCAATGATACATGCTAGAAATGCATTATTCGCTGTCGCCACGACGTCAAATACTACCGCACGAAGTCCTATCTAGGTGACTTGGGAGATGATGTGGTGAATGAGGCTTTACACAAACACTAACCCTAAGAATCGAGGACCCGATCCTGGAAGACGACTGCTGCCCCTAGGCCATGGGAGGACGAAAGCAAATCGGAGTTGTGCTACTCGAGGGGAGGAGGGCTCGATTCCGGGTGGATACATGGCTGGGCCACGATTTCAGAGCACGGTCGTCCGGGGGGGGGGGGCAATAGGCAGGAGGCGGACGGGCAGGAGTTAGGTGCTCTTTGGCCAATTTCTCGACGATAGAGCCAGACCGAGTGAGGAGCTTCGAGCGCTGCAAGTTTCTGGATGATACCGCGCGTCTGGGCTTGTGCACGAAGCTCTGGATCGAGTGCTCAGGCAGCGCTCCAGCCGGCCACTTCACCAAAGCACTCAGCATTGTATTCTTGCGGCCGCTACAGTCTGATCGTCCACCTTCCATCGGAGGTGTCGTAGTTCGGATATCTGGATTTTCAAAAATGCTGCCTCTCCAAGCTCAACAAAAACGCAAGCCGGGACTAAAGTTTGCTGCTATTACCCCACGAAACAACATTCAGCAGTGATCATATATCAGCAAGCGTCATCTGAACAATCAAGGAAGCTCACCGTCGCTACCCAATGCGGAAAGGCGGGCTTGGCATGGAGCATGCCATCAGCCAAAAACTTTACCTCGACCTCGGCGCCCCCCCAACACCCCCTCGACCTCCCTACACCCTCCGGACGGCAATACGACGACCTCACCGGTGACAAAAACATGGACACAGTGGGAATTGAACCCACGACCTTTCACACGATGTCACCGACGTTGTGTCAGGATATGCGAAGCGAAAATCATACCCCTAGACCATGTGCCCCGACCAGGCCGAGCAGCTATTGCGCTGATTCGATGACGAGTGCACGAAAAGTTTTAACTATATTACATTATCACTCACGCATGGACAATCTCGAGGTCACTTGAATAGCGATGCTACAGAACTCATATAAAATGACGCCCTCTGGTCTGTTATTATCCTTCGGAGGACCCGACTCTTCTAATCTGGCAGTCTGACGACTGAAGAGCAGTCAGTCAGCCAGGTCTCGAGCACAGCTGCACACCCGGATTGACCTGGTAACATGATCAATGGCAGAAATTGGCTCGAGGCGCAACGTAAGCTTGGCCATGTCGGTCATTCAACCGACTTACCGCTTTCAGAATTAGAATGGCCAGTGCCTGGCGTTCACGATGGAAATTCAATTGACTAACGTCTCCATGATCGGTCACCCGAGTTACAACATGAACCGACTGGCAATTGAGTCGTTGAGTGCTTGGAGCATGCATCACGTACAACAGAAAGAGCACTCTGACATTAATCGAATGCATGTACTACACTAAGAAATACTGTCGATATCAATCACGCCGCTCTATGACTCTTCGCAATATCACTGCCATCAGCAGCAATCACCGCAAACTCCGCAACCGTCGCACCCGTGCCATTCTTCTCGTTCGCTGTATCTCTATGAAATTGATTGCCCTCGATCGACAATCTCACATACCTCCCGCTCCACACAGGCTGCTCCAATGTAACATTAGTCATGTTGGGCTTGTAGGCTACGATTTTCGCTGCTGTAGCGGCGTTATATGCATTGCTGATCGCGATATTGCTGCTCGAGCTGACGTTCCTGACCGTGGTGCCATCCGTGTCGTTGAAGACGACCACGGAATACGACTCTGGTGGCGCTTGCGCCCAGTCAAACATCAGCGCAATGATTGGGACAAATGGGTTGGGCAGCTTGACGGTGATGGAAGATGTGATGTTGAGTTGTGCTGGTTCCCATTTAGTACTCGTGGCGCCGTCGATCGCTCCAAGAGGAAATTGGCCTTGAACTATGTCTTGTTGAGTTGACACTGGTCTGCATTGAGCAATGTTGCCAGCAATCGTCTGAATTGTCGAGTTCCGACGGTTGAGCAGCACCAAGCTGCCGTTCGGAGCCAGATGCCCAACAGGCTCTGCATTGACCCCCGTGGTTACTGGGATCGAAGTGTTGGCGAACGTCGAGTTGGCATTCTGCAGCGGTGCAGGCAACCTGGATAGCGTGGTGTGCGTTTGGTTGGAGACAGCACTGATGGGCCAACCTTGCCAGTAGAAATTTCTGTAATCAAGGTATGGTATCTGAGGCGGCAACTGCGGGTCGACGTTGAGAGAGCCCAGCATCAAGCGCAAGCCAAGGTAGCCAAAGACAGCGACGCGATTGGCACCGCCAACACCAGTCAGGAAGGGATACGCCGGATGAGTCCCTTCATTGACAGTGAAGTCGTCCACCAGCTGTTCACTATATTGGAACCAAGGAGCCCGAATGTATGGTTGCGAGCTGTAAATATCGTACGTGTACGATGAGCATCCGGAGGGACTGATCTCGTTTGCTACGATGCTGAAAACACCGTAAGTCATACCTGGACCATTTGGCGACTGCTTGTTGGCGTAGTAATCCAAGTCGTTAACGCTCTGATTGTTCGGGTAGTCCAGAAAATCATCGATCAACACGATGTCGGCCTGCTTCACCAAAACACCATTGTTCATGGACTGATATTCCAAGATGATGTTGTCAGGCTCGTAGACGGGAATATTGGTCAATGACGAGATATTTGCCCACGTTGTGTTCTGAGCTATGCCAAAGCGGGCTCGAAGCTGGTTGGCAGTCTCGAGGTGAGTTTTGATCAGCACCATTGTGTACCCGACATTGTTTTCGAAGTTAGCGTACTCGTCGGGATCAGTGGCATTGTACAGGTCGTAGAAACCGGAGGTCTCGTTGTAGGTCACTAGATCAGCGTAGAACTGAGCAACAGCATCGTAGATGGGGAACAGCTCTTGACGGAAGTAATCACTGTCTCCTGTGACCACGTAATAGTTGTAAATCTCCAGTCCGATGTCACCGTTGATGTGGTACTCGTAGTCGAAACAAGGACCGACATCAGTACAATTGCCAAATCGGCCATCTGTCCACGGGAATACGGCACCGGTAGGTGAGAACTTTCCCGTTTGGTTCTGGCTCGACTGATATGCAGCATGGATATTTTGCTGCGCTTGCGGGAAGTGCTTGACTCGATACTTGGCAATCTGCTGTGCTGCCTCGGGAAAGGTCACAACCAACCCTGGCGCCATCCACACTTCTGCGTCCCAGAAAATCTGTCCGGCGTAGCTGTCGCTCGTAAGACCACCGACAGCGATACTATACGTGCTGAGCTCGGTGTTGTTTCCGGCTGCTGCGATTGCGTTGGCCCCAACAGTGTTCTGGAGAAGGTAGAAAGGATTGGTGATAGCTAAGATCTGAAGCTCCTGGATGTTCTCATCATCTGGTATAGACCCATTCGCAGGGAAGCGATAGCTGTCGACCCGATCTGCCGTGAATACGCTGGCCCATTCAGCGCGATGCGAGCTCAGCATACTGGCAAAGCCATTGCGTGCACCAGTGCATGATCCATTGAGGGCCACGCTGTCGGGAGCGCTGAAGGCGTCGGATGATGCCACGCCGATATATTTTGTGGCCACGGAAGTACTACCGGCGCAGAGCGACAGCGTTTTGGCCTGTGCAATTGACGAGGTATTACCTCCAATGACGGCCTCGTCTGTGTAATTCCGCCAACTTCTTTCAATGAAAGACTCGTCTGTCTCTAATGTCGAGTAAACGTACGCAGTGACATTGTCTATGCCGCGCGGATTGACAGCAGACCATATCACTGGCTGGATTGGGTCAATCCCTTTACCACTTGGTGTGGTTCGGACAGCACAATCGCCATTCAGAGCATCAATCACCGTTACGTTCAGATCTGACGCTGACGTGAGCCTCAGCTGAGTGGCCGCTTGATTGACATAGAGCTTGTGGACCAGCAGTGCATACTCGACGCCAATCGTCGTGTTTTTGTCAGGAGACCAAGTATAGCTCCAGCTGAGAAATCCTGCCGCAAAGTCGAAAGTGGACGAGAAGTTCGAGATCTCACTAGCTGGTGTGCTCGCCGTCAAGACTGAGTCGCCGACAGCTACATGTAACCCAGACCAATGCGGTACACCACTGATGAAGCTGTCCCAGCCATATTGCTCCAGCCATGGAAAGTTCGTCTGGTTGAGATCTCCCGTCGCTGGCGCAGATCCATAATAGCCTGCTATGGTAGCAAAAGTTTGCCTGCGATCAAATATTGGCCAGCCATTGATATCATCCCCGTTCACAGGGGTATCAGCTTCGAAAAATGGACCCAGAGCGGCCACATTGATGCCTAAGTAGCCATTTGCCAACGAGGCCCGAGACTGATAGTGACCTTGATCCAAATTTCTGGTCGTGAGTCTCCAAATGTCGTCATCCCAGGTGGTGCCGTCGAATCGAGTGCTGTACACCTTTCCGAGGCTGTGATGTGAAAATAATGCCAGAGTGAGCCCAGCAGGTAACGTCAATCCTGATGTCAACATGGTCATTTCTCATGGCCTTGAAAGAAACATAGCTCGCTATTGAGAGTGGTGCAAAGTAGAGAAAGTAAGCTGACATAAAATGCAACTTACGCCATACTGCATAGCAGTTGAACATCAAGGTTACAATGATGAGGCGCCGTGGCCAGCTTCTCCTTGCTTGGCTTATGGCATTGCGGTTACCGTGCCGACCGTATCCGAACGTAGCAGGGTTCTTCTGTTGGCAATGCCGAACAAACGGGTCTCGAGTGAGGTCCATGATCGTACTTGCAGGAGGAGTCGGGATGACGACAGGAAACAACGTGGAGAAACCACATTAGGTTCTAGGTCATGCGGGGATGAGCAGCACGCTAGAGCCCCTTGAGGCAGGCACGAAGCAACTATGGCTACCAGTAATGGTAGGTGCTACCGAGCGAGTGAAGCCCTGGTCGTGCCAGAACAATTCGTCTCGTGAAAATGGAGCATGAACAGAAGGACGCCTCAGTCGTGAAGACATATCGACAGAATGGAGTGTATGATGACTCGATTTAACACCCTGTAGCTGTCGTTGCCGACAAATTCATCACGCGGTTGCTAAACAACCACCGCACGAAGTGGAACGCCTGTCGAAAGTCGTCCGAATCATCAACAAGTCCACTCGTTGCTCTTGTTAGGCCTACTTGCACGTTGCATAGTGTGGACGACCATCAATTGATAGCAGCACACGTTCGTGGACATGAGCAAGCAGCTCACCAGCTACCTGGTACCAATGTGATTTGATGCACCATACCATTTGTCTGCTGGAGTACCTGTCGCTTAGAATACACATCGTCCAAGTCCGATTCGAGTAGTCGTCCGACGCCAATGCTATGCAAACTTCATTTACCCATGTTCCCAGCCCAATCCAGATGCAGTCCCTAACAACGCCACGCACGTCCGTGGCTACCAACATCATGCACGCTGGCCCGCGCTATGGTTGTCAAGTCATGTACATGTATATTCATGGACAGTCATCAACCTTCCGCCTCTTTCTGGCTCGATTGCCAGCATCACCAAATATCCACGGGCCTTCAAGTCACGCTCCATTCTCAACGACAGATGGGCTGTGCCGATGATCCACGATCCATTCCATCACACACTCGTAGCACAGCACAAACTGCCTAAGACTCTGCACCATACTCAATCTTTGGTGTCGGAAGTCTTCGACAGTTTTCTCGACCAAGTCGATGTCATCGCTCTTTACCCATTCGCCCTCTGGCCCGTGACTGGCATAGTCTTCGTACGTGTCCTTGCATTGGGAAGCGAAGAAGCCGCCACCACTCTTCTTGCGTTCAGCCCGCGTGTCAAGGCCAGAGTCGAGCTTGCTGTGCGACATCGACCGTCGAGCCGGATCAGGATTGTCTAGGTCCATGGGTGAGGCGCCACGAGACTTGTCCTGG